TGATGGAGAGGAGGTATAGATTGGACATCCGCAAAAACTACTTCACGGTTAGGGCGGCTAGGAGCTGGAACCAACTTCCAAGGGAAGTGGTGCTGGCCCCTACCCTGGGGGTCTTTAAGAAGAGGCTGGATGCCTACCTGGCTGGACTCGTTTGAGTCCCGTTTCTCTTTTTGGGGTTTTTTGTTGTTCTCCAGCCCTGGCGGGGGGTTGGGCTAGAAGATCTACTAGGTCCCTTCCGACCCTTAATCTATGAATCTATGAATCTATGACTCCATGGCCTGGTCTGCTGGATCCCTGTGCCAGGAGAGGCCTATGGTACAGACCTGGCCTCCATCCCTTCTCTTTTGCACAGAGCTTTCCCATATCTCCCCTCACACCAGGAAAGAATTAAAATGAGGAAGTGGGCCTGGGGATGGGGAGCTGCTGATCCCACCACTCCCTCTACTCCTCCAGGAACCTGGTTTACAGCAAACACTTCCAAGTGGTTTGTTGTGAAAACAGGTGCAGGGGTGGGAGGGAAGGGACCTTTGTTTCTGCTGATGGGGCTTGGGTGTTTAGGGTGGTGCAGGGGGAGGGAGTCTGTGTCCCAGCCCAGGGGCTGGCTGCCTGACTGGAAGTGAAGCGAGGTGAGGGGGTGATCTGCAGGGCTAGGGTGGGACAGGCAGGGGACAGGGAAAAGATGGCTGCTTCTGCACTTTCCTGCCAGGGGCTGAAATTCTTCCATAAGTACTGGTGCCAGGGACAGGAGAGGCACCCTGAGCAGGGGCTAGGGGTGCCTCCAGCCTGATTTCCTCCCCACCTCCTCTCCACATCTGGGCAGAGGTTATAAGGCCCTGCACCCACTAAGCTAGGTTAAAGCAGCCTTGGTTGTGCCCTGCCTTACACTCCTGCCATGATGGCCCTTCAGGGCTTTCATTGCACTGCAGAAAGGCTGGGGTGCTCCCCCGCCCCTTGCTGTTTGCTCATTTCCTCCCATGTAAGGATCCCATCACACAAGAACAGGACCAGTACAGGGACATGCCAGTTCCCCATCCCCCATGCCAGTTCCTCCCCACCCAGGTGCACTGCTGGTCCATGGGGTGAATGGAATGAGTGCCCTCCCTGTTACCTCCTTCCACCCACCCAGTCCAGCACAGCCCAGGCCTGGCCCTGGTGTTTACACTGCACACAGCCTGGACAGTAACAGGGTGTCCCAGAAGCCTGGAGACACACATGTTTGGTGTCTAAACATTGATGGGTGGGAGAGGAGAGCATTCAGGAATGTGTGCAGCATTTGTCCCGCTCCAAGTGTAGGAGGGGGAATTGGCTGGGATCTGGGCAGATGTCAGGGGATTCAGATCCCAGGTAGCAGTGGGCTAGGTGTAGCCTGGAGGGGATCTTGGGGGATACCAGGCTTAGAGGGACCTTGTGGTCTGCTCCAAGGTGGGGCAGGGCACCAAAGCAGTGACTCTCAAAGGCTGTGGAGATATCAGGGCACATGTTCTCCTTCAGGGTGCCTGGCTTCCTCAGCAATTCACACCCCAGTTCCAAGGAGCCCCTGGGAATGGAGAAGCAGGGGCAGGCAGAGTACCAGTCTGTGCCTGGGGGTCACTGGGAGGAGTCTGTCCTGCTTCATGGGCAGGCAGTGCTGAGTCTATGTGGCAGAGACCACCCAGTGCTGAAGGGAGGGAGGGTGAGTGATCCACATGCCCAGCTTGCTGGCAGCTCTCCTGGCCAAGCAGCAGAAATCAAAGGAAGACATTTGAGACAACATTGGAGGCCTTGCACTGTATTGAGCCACACATCCGGTGAGGGGAAGGGATTGTTACAAGCCATCTCTCATGACAAGGACCCATGGGGTGCTCCCCCAAAAGGCCACATCCAGGGAGCTACTTGCCAGGGTGCTGGCACAGGACACAGGTCTTATCCTCCTCCCCCTGCCCTCCCCCCACTGGTTCCTGCTAACACTGAGCATGAGCTGTGTCAGTCATATCCAAGCCCTCCAAGAGGAAGGGCTGTCTGGCTTCAGGCCACTCTCTTAAGCCCCCCTCCCTACTGAGACCCCTTGCCTGGCTTTGGGGCATGTGGATCCTATCAGAAGTGACTGTCGAGCTGGGGCAAGACCTTCCCTGCTGGACACTCAGTGGAGCAGTGGTCAATGGCAGTCATGTGGAGAGACCAGCCCCCACCCCACCCCGATAGGTCCCTGTGGGGGTCAGAGCCCCATGGGGCAGAGAGCATACCTTGAAAGGTGCCTGCCACGGACTCCAAGAGGGAGCGGAGCGGAGGCTGGACCCCAAGCTCTTTCCCACTCAGGCCTGGCTGGCAGGTGGGTTCTCTCCTCCCAGCTGGCTTCCCCTAGCAGCAGTGACTCCTCCCTGGTCTCTCCAGGCTAGGCCCAGCCAGCTGTCCCTCTGGGAGGAGAAGAGGGAGCTGTTACGTCATGACAGGCCCAGGGCAGTAACGGCGCCTGCCCTCTGTGTTTGCTGTACACAAGTCCTGCTCAGCTTGGCCCTGTTTCCAGTAAACATTCACCCTTGCAATGGTCCCGGGGCTAAGGGCTGGCACCTCAGGGCTTTGAACAATGCTTGTGGAGTGACCTGCATAGCTGAGGTCCTGGGAGCAACTTTGTAGGGAGCAGGGCTATTATTAACCCCTGATGGGAAGGACTAAAATGTTGGCGAGGCAAGGCTGGGGCATGGCAGGAGTGTTTCCAATGGAAGGCAGCACAGGATGCAGGCAGGGAGGGGGGCAGCTAATAGGCCAGGAGAGTCTGGAGTCCAGAGGTCAAGGTTTGTTTTGCTCATTGTACTCCTTGCAGGACAGAAGAGACAGTGCTGGATGCATTACTGCCTGCTCCATCCAGGATGCTGGACCCGTGTGGAGCCTGTGGTTCTCTCTGTCTCCCAGACAGCCTGGCCCAAAGGCACCAGATGCAGCCCTTCTATGCCCTACGACAGGAAGCTAAGCAGGCACCCTCCCACCTCCAAGTTTTCTCAGTCCAGAACCAAAGTCTTCAGCTAGCTGGATTGGACTCTGACCTGGGTCTTGGAGAGGAGAAAATGTGGGGCTGGATTTTTGGGCTTCCTGAACCAGATGTGGACATTGATCTGTGAGAGAAGAAACCATGGGCCTAGAACTCTGTGCTAACCTGCAATGGATTCATTTCCCCTGCCTCCCCGCATCCCCGCTATCACGTATTCAGGGCAAGTTCCATATCCAACACTGTTTCACACCATTAGCTCCTCAGCAGCCGGGATGCACTGCCAGCTGGCAGAGAGTTAAATGGAAACACCGGCGCAGAATGCGAGCAGCTAATTGGCAGTGGTAGTCCCCGTCTGTGCAGGAAAATGCCCATGGTAGAGGGCTGCAGTTCTGGCCGGGTGAGCTCCAAGATGGCCCTGGTCCCATCACCCCCATACCCATCCTCCTCATAGCTGCTGCAAACTGTGGGGGATCATCCTCTTTTATGTCTCCCTGGGGCTTTGCTGTCTGCAGACAGGCAGTGGCACTGTTGCCTGCTGCTTCTGGTGCCAGTGCAGTGCCCATCCTGGTGCCACCCCAATGCCTTTGCAGATTTGAGGCTGAATAGCAAAGAATCCCATGTAGCTTGTGGGGGTCTTACCCAAGGGGCATGTGATGCACACGCCTTACAAGGCACCACCCCTAAGTGCTCCCCTCTTCTGCATCATGCTCTGCTTATCACCACTGCCCTGTGTTCCTCACTGCTGGAGGCTGCTTCAGTGACCCTAAATTAGGAGCAACTCACTGACCTCCCCTCTCCAAAGCACCAGTGCTTTCCGGCTCTGCTCTCTCTAAATACCCTTTGTTAGTGCTTTCAGAGGTTAGTGAGTGGTCATGCACCAAGTGACAGGGGTTGGGTGTCTGCCTGGGTCTTGGTGTTGGATGGGTGGGAAGTGAGAAGGAACCTTGTGAGGGACTTACCTGAGCTCCTGTATAGCCCAGGCCAGAGAAGTT